CATCTTTACTTTGTAACCTGGTTTATAACAGGCCATCCATTTCCGCAGCACACTTCTGAAAACAATTATAACCTGGTCCCATCTTTCTAGGGCCTGGATCCACTTACACAGCAGGAAAAACAAAGCTACCTGCTAATCATGGAAGTGTGTCCAGCCTTTAAATAACTTTAATTTTAATTTTTTTTCTTGTCATTAAAATGTAAAATTAAAATGGGGAAAAAGTATTTAATATTAAGCCTTAAAATGAAACCTGCAATGCAAAGAGTAAAATGACAATAAAAGAAAGTGCAGAGGACACAGGGCATTTTTAAAGAGCGAGCGATGCTGAGAATACACGGTGGGAGGACGTCAGCAATCTTCCCGCCTCAGTCAGCCTCCCCAGTAGCTGGGACTACAGGCGTGTGCCACAGAGACCCCCTTTCCTTTCCTTCCCGTTCCCCGTTCCCTTCCCCCCACCCAAACCCCCATCAATCTTAGAACTGAAAGTAGGCCGCCAGCCGCAGGCCCGCGTCCTGACGCAGCAGGAAGCGCACAGCGCCTGACACAGTGATCTTGGCAAAAGCACTGACCGCGAACCTAGACTGGGACGCTTTAGAAATTCTTTCTTTTTTTTTTTTCTTGTAAGAAAATTTCTCTCCCTTACTCCATCCTTACTTTGTTTTTTTGTTATTTATTTATTTATTTATTTATTTTTTCTAGAAACAGACCTGGAACCCATCTTTACTTTGTAACCTGGTTTATAACAGGCCATCCATTTCCGCAGCACACTTCTGAAAACAATTATAACCGCAAGCCTCAGAGTGAACTGCCAGGGCACAGAAAACATGAAGAACAGAGAAACAAGTGAAAGATACCACAAGGATGTAATCAGCAAAACCCAGAACATGACACAGTCTATATAGGACAAATGACTCACTTTATGCAAAAACGCAATGACATCCAGAAAGAAAAAGGGAGTAGGGGTAGAGGCTGTGAAAGAATAAGAGACCCTTAAGAAACATAACCAAAAAAAAAAAAAAGAAAAGAAAGAAACATAACCAGAGTAATATGTGTGCCTTCTGTGGATCTGGTTCCAATCAAACCACCTTTAAACAGGGTACAGTGGCTCCTGCCTGTGATTCCAGCACTTTGGGAGGCCGAGGCAGGCGCATCGCTAGAGGCCAGGAGTTCAAGGCGAGCCTGAGCAATATATCAAGATCCCATCTCTACAAAATTTTTTTTTAAATTAGCCGGGCATGGTGGCGAACACCTGTAGTCTCAGCTACTTGGGAGGCTGAGGCAGGAGGCTTGTTTGAGCCCAGGAGTTCAAGGTTGCTGTGAGCTAGGCTGACACCACGGCACACCAGCCTGGGCAACAGAGCAAGACCCTATCTCTAAAAGAGAAAAATCTACCTTTAAAAGCAACTTCTGATACTATTTGGGAAATCTAAATATGGAATGGGTATTAAATGATATGAAGGAATTAAGAAAATAACTATATTTTATGGATAAAGGTGTAATATCTGGAATTTGCTTTAAAATACACATATGCACACACACAAGTTTTTTGGGGTGCTTAAAAAGAAATAAGAAAAGCCCAATGTAAAAAAAGTGATGGGACAGATATCCGGGGAGTGTTTATATTCTTCTGTTTACTTTTGTGTGTGTTTGAAATTGTCCGTTATGAAAAGGTATTTGAAGAAGCAGTCATCCTAGAGGGGGCAGGCATGGAATCTCTTCTGTGTTGTTGGGTTGTCTAAGCGGAGTATGTAGTGCTTGAGTTTAAATGTTAATTAAATAGGAATTATGGTTGCAATTTTTATACGGTAATACTTTTTTTATATTTCAGAGATTGGGTCTTGCTCTGTTGCCCAGGTGTGATCATGGTTCACTACAACCTTGTACCCCGGGGCTCAAGCAATCTTCCGGCCTCAGTCAGCCTCCCAAGTAGCTGGGACTACAGGCGTGTGCCACAGAGACCCCCTTTCCCTTTCCCTTTCCCTTTTTCCCTTTCCCTTTTTCCCTTTCCCTTTCCCTTTCCCTTTTTCCCTTTCCCTTTTTCCCTTTCCCTTTCCCTTTCCCTTTCCTTTTCCCTTTCCTTCCCTTTCCTTCCCTTTCCTTTCCTTTCCTTTCCCTCTCCCCTCCCCTCCCCCTCTCCTCTTCTTTTCTTTTTGAGATGGGGTCTCAATATGTTTCCCAGGCTGGTCTCCAACTCCTGAGCTCAAGCAATCCTCCTTCCAAGGCCTCCCCAAATGCTGGGATGACAGGCGTGAGCCATGACACCTGGCCAGAAATACTATGTCTTGATTGTGGTGGGGATTACACAGCTGTATATATTTGTCAAGACTCACACAATTTTGTGCACCTCAGAAGTGGGAGTTACACATTTCAGCTGAAATGGAAGCACATGTCAGACAGAGACGCATGCACAGAGGCACCCAGCGCTTTACCTGTAATGGTCAGAAACTGGAGACACCCCAAACGCCCATCAGCAGGGATGGACCACCTGCAGCACATCCACACAGCCCGACACCACCCAGTGGACCACGAAGCACCCAAAGAGCATGGAGGAATCTTAGAACATACAACTAGGCCGGGCGCGGTGGCTCACGCCTGTAATCCTAGCAGGAGGCCAAGGCAGGCGGATCGCTGAAGGTCAGGAGTTGGAAACCAGCCTGAGCAAGAGCGAGACCCCGTCTCTACTATAAATAGAAAGAAATTAATTGGCCAACTAATATATAGAGAAAAAATTAGCCAGGCATGGTGGCGTATGCCTGTAGTCCCAGCTACTCGGGAGGCTGAGGCAGGAGGATTGCTTGAGCCCAGGAGTTGGAGGTTGCTGTGAGCGAGGCTGATGACACAGCACTTACTCTAGCCTGGGCAACAAAGCGAGACTCTGTCTCAAAAAACAAAACAAAAAAAAAAAAACATAGAACTAAACGGAAAAAGACAGACATGAGCACATAGGTACGGTTTCATTTCTATAACGCTCCAGAAAACGTTAAGCTTCAGTATGGTGACAGAAAGCAGATCAAAGGCTGGGGGATGGCAGGGGCAGGAAGGTAGAGAGCTAATTTCTGGGGACAGAAAATCTAGATGTCCCTGTTTCTTATTTACTTATTTATTTTAAGAGATGGGGTCTTGCTCTGTCGCCCAGGCTGGAGGGAAGCAGTGCGATCACAGCTCACTGTAACCTTAAAAGTCCTGGACTCATGTGATCTTTCCGCCTCGGCCTCCCGCACAACTGGGACTACAGGCGTGCGCCACCGCACCCAGCAGCAGGTTCGTCATTTTGATTTGGTGATGGCTTCATAGATATACAAGTGGAGAAATTTATCATATTATATATTTTATCCTCATTATTTATAAATAAAGTTATTTATAAATAACTTCATGGTATTCCATGGTACATATAATTGTAATTTCCATAACCGCTTCCCCATTGATAGATATTTCATTTGTCTGCAGTGCTTTACTATTATAAACAATGCTACACCAAACATCCTCGTTCACCTGTCTTTCCTCACTTGTGTGCACGTTTCCCTAGTGAACAAATGTAATTGGTATATCAGAGGGTACGCACATAAACCACCAAATGCCCTCGGGAAACACTGTGGCAACCAACCCTTTCCCAAGCCTGGGGAGAGGTCTGCTTCCTCCCACCCCAGACAACAGGAAGTGCCAGCAAGCTTTCCTCTCTGACTCAAGATCACCAACAGTCTGCACACACCACAATAGGACATGATAAAAGATCATATTTGAGTCTAGAGGAAGAAAAAGAAACTAGATTTTAGAAATCATTAACTAAAAAAACCTTCCAGAATATTCTATGTCAGTGCCTCAAAAGCCTCCTTTTCCTGTAACATTCGTCCAGGAAGCCCCGGGGGACTGCTAGGGAATGCTCCCTGAGTAAACAGCCAGGAGATGAGAAACCACCCAAGCGGCCATGCTGGAGCTGCCCAAACCTACCCGCCTCTTTGAAGCACATGGGTTTGGCGGCAGCAGGGCGGAGCCCAGACTTCGGCAAAGGGACATGGCTCAGCCTTCTGGGTCTAGGGAGAGGACACCGGGCTCCCTGCCCCAGAGCACAGGGCATGCTTTTCAGACCCAGGCACAAAAAAATCTGGCTATTTCAGTAGCCTCCACATTGGAAAAAGTACCCCTCTCAAACTGATGAAGAAGATGAGAGCTTGCATAGGATTTGGAATTCTGCAGAAAATGGGTTCCAACCCCAGTTTCACCACTGATGTCACTGTGGGCATGAGACAAGTCACTTCAGATCGGCCTCAGTTTTCTCAACTGCAAAACGGAGATGACAACACTGAATTCATACGGCTGGACTGTCATGAGAAACAGTCAGGACAGTGTTGTGGATGGGAGCTCAGGGCCCGAAGTCAGGGAGACACGACTCAGAGCCCAGCTCTGACACCCGACACTCAGCAACTCTGAGATTGCAGGCGAGCCTCAGAGCCTGCTTTCCTCCTCTGTAGAGCAACACAAGGACCCCACGATGAGGATTTTGAGATGCTTTATAAAGAGAAAATATCTGTATATGTATATATATAGACATATATAAAGTAGCTATTTTTTTTTTTTGGAGACAGAGTCTCGCTCTGTCACCCCGGCTAGACTGCAGTGGTGTCATCATGTGTTGATTTTTAAAATAACTCTGTATATCAGTCATTTGACCTATAAAATATAAATGATTGTTTTTATTATAGGAACCTGTTTAAAAGGGCTGAAATTAACTTTCAGCAATTTGAGGACAAATCCTAACAAACTGCCCAATATATAGAAAAGAAATGGGTTTTCCCTCAATATTCTAAATTCTATCGTCACGGAAAAGTAACCGTGGGCTGGCTGGTGGAGACGGGAGGTTAAATTTCTTTGCTGGGACACAAATAAAACCCTGGGCTGAGGCCTCATTAGCAGGTGTAAAATGGCTACAGCTGAGGTCCCTCCCTCCCACACGGCTGTGTGGCCCAAATGCACTGCCCAGGCAGACGCGACTGGCTCCGTACCAGGTAAACGGGGCTTCGGCTGCTGTCCATCGCGGGGATGCCAGTAAGGACCTCGGCTAACACCTGGAGGAAACAGAAGACAGGGTGAGCTTGGTCCAGACACTGGCGCACAAGGTCAGGCAGGCGACTCAAGCCAAGAGAGAAGCCTCTTTTCAGTTGCAAAGTCTGAGCTACAGCCCCAGCTCTGCCATTCGCCAACAGAGACACTTGCCCAAAACCTGGGGCATGGGCATACCACCAAACACTTCCTCCAGTTAAAGATGCCACACCAACTGCCAGTGGAAGGCTTTAGTGAATTGACAGCAAGGCAGGGAGGATGGAATTCAAAAATTCCTGTGTGTGTGTGTGTGTGTGTGTGTGTGTATTGCTATAAGTTTTATATACACATAAACACACATGTAAGTATATATACATGTGCAGTATTTTTTAAAGATTGTTGCACTTAAAAATACGCCAGCAATGGCAAGCTGGCATTGCTCTATCAATCTCAGGGAAAGAAGGAATCCACCTGCAGGTAGGTATCCATTCTACACAGAAACTCTTGGCAATAGATATAGCTACGTTTCATCCATAGGACTTTGTTAACATTTATTCATTAAAGCATCCATTCACCAAAGGAGCACAGCCCCCTCCCCCCTTAAGCCACCATGAAATTGACAGACCTAAAAAAAGGCAAGCAAGAAAGAAATTGACAAATCTGGTTCCAAAAGGAATTCTCAGCAGAGATTAACAGCATGGTGGTGAAGGGTGCTACAGCCAGACAGGCCTGGGCTCAAATTCTGACTCTTCTCCTCACATGCTCAGGTCATCTTTGAGCAAGTGACTAAACCCCGAGCCTCGATGTCCTCATCTGTTAAATGGGGACCTAGCGGTTGTGAATACTGAAGGAGTGACTGACCCACCCTTAGTGTCCAAGCTCTCTCCCGGCCTCTCTAGCACGGAGTCAGAACAGGGTGACATTACTGCCAAAATCCCTCACGGCCTGGAGGAGCGAGAGGACAGTGCGCTGAGACCACCCAGGCCCGTGGGGTTGACGTGGGGTTGACGACAGACCGGCAGTGTCGGGAGAGCAGCAGAGGGCGCTCCTGTGGCAAGCCGGCCAGGAGCCAACAGGGCACTCCTGCCCCTGCCAGGAAGGGAGGGAACAAGGGCGAACAAATAAACAAACATCTCCTCTGCCCCTTCCCCACAGCAGGCTCTGCCAGGCCCTGAGAGACGCACTGTGCTCCCCACAGGGGGAACCAAAGTTCAGAGTCGTAAGGTAACTGTAGACCAGCGGCAGGGCTAAGGAAACGGGTGGAGGGAGCCAGTGGGCGCTCGATGAACAGGAAGTCAACTGTGGCCCCGAGAGCTTAGTCAGAAGGTTAAGGGTGAACATGTCTGGAGTGAGGGCGTGAAGGTAGGAATGACCGCAGCCACAATAATAATGATAGTCTAATGGCCGGGTGTGGTGGCTCGCTAGTAATCCTAGCACTCTGGGAGGCTGAGGCGGGAGGATCACTCAAGATCAGGAGTTCGAGACCAGCCTGAACAAGAGCGAGACCCCATCTCTACTATAAATAGAAAGAAATTAATTGGCCAACTAAAAATATATAGAAAAAATTAGGTGGGCATGGTGGCACATGCCTGTAGTCCCAGCTACTCAGGAGGCTGAGACAGGAGGATTGCTTGAGCACAGGAGGATGAGGTTGCTGTGAGCGAGGCTGACGCCAGGGCACTCACTCTAGCCTGGGCAACAGAGAGACTCTGTCTCAAAAAATAAGTAAATAAGACGTTCTCCGTCTGTGCAGGGCACTGTGCCAGGCGGCACGCACGAAACCACACTGCCTCCATGTCCTCGTCACCCTTGCCGCACAGAAGACACAGCTGGGCCCAGACGGAGGTGAAGCACTGTCAGTCACGCAGCTGGGCCAGGTGACAGGCCTGGAGGCCCAGGGGCTGAGCCCGCAGATGCTTAGAGGAGCGGGAGCCGGGCCGCCCTCTGAGCTCCACTGAGCAACTCCGAGTGAGGCCGAGGGAGGCGAGAAACCGAGAGCGAGGCACAGACTGGGAGGCCCAGGTGCGAGAACCTGGCGTCGGGGCTGAGGGCAGAAGGTGGCTCGGCCAGGGCTCCAGCAGCAGGGGGACAGACAGGGGACTGTGGTCGTGGAGAGCACGTGCGGAGGTCCAGGCTAGGGAGGGAGGGGAGAAAGGCCACGTCCGAGCTGCCTCCCCTGTTTGCACTTGGCTGAGGCCAGCCAGGCTGTCGCTTTCCTCAGCCAACACTTCCCAGACCGAGTTCCCTGGAACACCGCTGTGAGCAGATGCTCTGAGAAAACGAGCTCTCAGAGTCACGTGAATGTGGGAACACTGCGTGCCCCTCTCTGGTGAATTCACAGCGACCAGATTAATGGCTCACGGCCGTATTAGAAGCTCAAATTCATCTGTGGTAAAGACACCTGCCTCACCCCGTATTTCCCAGACATATTTGGCACAGAACTCTTTGAGCACATCAGCTCCACGCCGGTCCGAAGGAACTGACGGTCTGCGGAAATGCACTTTGGAGATGACAAGCTCTGGAAGGAGGGGCTGTGTTCTAGTTGTGTTTGCAGCCCGAGTGCCCGGCACATGGCAGGGACGGTGGCGGGTGGACGCTGCTTAGGGACAGAGGTTATCAGGCCAGGACAGCAGGACCGACCTCGGACGCTGCCGGGAGTCAGGGGCGTCAGGAGCCAACATCTGTCGCTCAGAACAGGGAATCTCCTGAGCGGCTTTACCTCAAGGGTCGGCAAACGTTTTCTGTAACAGGCCAGGCCACATGGTATCTACTTCAGCCTTCGATATGGGCCATATCGAGTCCCTGTCACATATTCTTTTGTTTACTTTTTTTTTTTTTTTGAGACAGAGTCTCACTTTGTTGCCCTGGCTAGCGTATCGTGGCATCAGCCTCGCTCACAGCAACCTCCAACTCCTGGGCTCAAGCAATCCTGCTGCCTCAGCCTCCCGAGTAGCTGGGACTACAGGCATGCGCCACCACGCCTGGCTAATTTTTTTCTATATATTTTTAGGTGGCCAATGAATTTCTTTCTACCTTTAGTAGAGATGGGGTCCCGCTCTTGGTCAGGCTGGTCTTGAACTCTGGAGCTCAAATGATCGATCCTCCTGCCTTGGCCTCCCAGAGTGCTAGGATGACAGGCATGAGCTGGCACGCTGGCCTCTTTTGTTTTCTTAAATCCTATCCTTCATAAATGTAAAAGCTACCCTCAGCCGCCAGGCCAAAGGAAAGAGGCAGCCGCCAGCCCCTGCCGCACTCTGATGGGGCCGTCTCCGTGCCCATGGCACACCCTGGGCTCACAGAGAGCCATGGGGAGGACGCGTGGGCACGCCCAGGTCTGCACAGGAGGCTCTTACTATTCCGTAGCCAAAGACGTCCACTCGCTTCGTCAGCTGCCCTACTCTGATGAAATCTTCTGGGAGATACGCAGCGGAGGCCTGGAAAAGCTGGGTCTCCATCATGGTGTACTTTGACCTTTTGTTGACGGGGCACAGGTGAGCCACTGGGTGTGCCAGCTTGGGGACGAGATTTTGGTCCAACAGAACATTGGAGCTGTGGAAAAGAAAGCAGAGAGAACCTTCTCGTTTGGAGCTGCATGGTAAGGAGTTGCCATGGGGACCCTTTTGGGAAACAACTTAGCTGTCAGTGGGCAATTTGGCACCTGCAGATTGGGATCATGAAGACTCTCCATACAGTTTCTGAGCGGGGGGGGGGGGGGGGGGGGTCCACGCCCTCCGGCAAATGGGGGTGGAATCAGGATTAAGACTTCCTGCCCCTGGGATGTGGCCAGAGATGTGCAGCCTCCCTGACTCCTGCAGATGTCCACCCTCATCAGCCACGGTTTGATCAAGCCCACGGGTTATGCTGGCCTGGCCGACTCAAGCCTAAACGCCAGCATCCTCTGTGGCTGAACCTGCCTAGATCGTGGGGAATAAGAAAAGAAAAAGGCCGGGCGAGGTGGCTCACATCTGTAATCCTATCACTCTGGGAGGCCGAGGAGGGAGGATTGCTCAAGGTCAGGAGTCCGAAAACAGCCTGAACAAGAGCGGGACCCCGTCTCTACTAAAAATAGAAAGAAATTAATTGACCAACTAAAAATATATAGAAAAAATTAACCAGGCATGGTGGCACGTGCCTGTAGTCCCAGCTACTTGGGAGGCTAGGGCGGGAGGATCGCTTGAGCCCAGCAGTCTGAGGTTGCTGTGAGCGAGGCTGACGCCACGGCACTCTAGCCTAGGGAACAAAGTGAAACTCTGTCTCTAAGAAAAAAAAAAAAAGAAAGAAAAGCAATAAAAATACCCTTTGGCCCAGGCATCTAACATGGGCACGTGAACTCCAAGAAAGTGCTCCAAAGGAGATTTTCAAAAGCCAACCTGCACGTGTAAAAATATTCAGTGTGGAACTAACCTCAAACAGGATTTCAAAAAGCTGACACCAATTCCAATATCCACTGTTAGGAGTGGCTAAGTAAACAATGGGCAAGTCCCTTTAATGGAAGACAAAGGCGGCACTAAAAACATGACAGTTCATGGTAAAAGCAAACGAAAGAAGCCAGGATGTATGCAATCTGGGGAAATGTTTGCCACGTTTAAATGAAGGGGGAAAACATAGAACAGGAATTGGTAACTGGATAAAGGTGCTGCCTTAGGGCTGAGGATGTGCACGGGCAGGTCCTGGGAAAGAAACAAAACAGAGGCTCGTTGATGAGTCAGGGGGATGGGTCAGCAATGACCTCTTACCTTTCTTGCTATTACAATTGTCAGTGCAATGAAATAAAAATCAGAGAAGAGAAAAGGGGAAAAAGGCTTCCTCAGGCCAAATGGAGAGAGAACGCTGGGAAGCACGAGTTCTATGGCTCTGGGGCAGTTCTATCCGGTTTTCTGTCATCTTCTGGAACCTTTCCCCTGCTGCCAGTCCCCAGGCAGGGACCTCTCACTCTTGGATGCTGCCGACCCTGCGGGAAGCCTCTCTGACAAGACGCCAACACCAGCAGATCCACGAGCTGGGCACAGGTCTCCCAGAAAGCCCGGAACAAGGCGCTCAGAACCCCAGGCGCCTGGCAAACATGGCTCGGGGCTTGAGGCTGAGTCCAGGCCAGCCGCCGAGTGGACGGCGAAATGCACGGAGTGTGGGGGGCTCGTTGGGAAAACAGCATCTCGGAAACACGATGCGGAAGCAATCCGTGCTGAGAGCGATCAGACGCAGGGCGCAACCCAGAGGCACTGAGGATTGCAGGCGTGACAAAGAAAAGGACACCCGAGGGGTGGAGAGGAGGAGAGAAAAACGAAGAGAAGCGAGGCAGAGCGGGGACACGGCGGTGCTGGCCCGCCCTGGCGGCCCCAGCCCCGGGCTCACCTCTTGACGTTGCCGTGGATGATGCCCAGGCCGTGCAGGTGCTCGAGCGCACCAAGCAGCCCCGCACAGATGCCGACGCGCTGCGGCCAGGGCAGGGCGTCTGAGCCACCCTGGGAGGAAGACAGGGGCAACGGTCACTCCTGCGCCTTTCAAAGCCCTGCTGGCGGGGCCCAGCGCCCCACCTCTCCCGCCCGCCGCCGCGCCCTCCCTAGGCAGCGGGCTCTGCAGCGGGACTTCACGCAGAAGCCCAGGGTTTCCACGACAGGCGGGTCTCAGCGTGACTCCCAGCTCAGACGACGGGAGCTGAGTGGCTTTGGAACTTCCTGGCATATAAGATGGAAATGTCAATTCCTGTGTTTTAAGGCGGTTGATAAGGACTCGAGAGAGAACACGTGACAGTGTCTGCCACACAGTAGGTGCTCATTAAATAGCTATTTTTATTATGGCTATTTCAGTGGCAGCTCTGGAATTTCTCCGCAGGAGGGGCTTGCTGGGAGAGGAGCTAGGGAGCGCGTGTTTGCACCCCGAGCACATGAGCCTCACCCCAGTCCCCTGTGTGTTACGGGAACTTCGCAGGGCTGACGGGGACTGAAGCACGGCCTTAGGCCTCCCATGTTCCCAGGTCCTGCCACTGTCGTTTTAAGACTCACTCTCCCAGGCTAAGTCACCACCTACTTTCCGAGCTCTGGTCTAGGTCCCACATCCCCTAAGAACTGGCCTGGACAACCTCTGGTAACAATTCCTTCTCAAAAGCTCTGAAATCTAGGCCAGGTGAACCCAATTTAAGCCCTGGCCTGACACTTATCAGCTGCATTCCTTTAGGCAAGTCTCTGCGTCTCTATGTGCCAGAGGCTCCTCTTTTGAAAAATGTGGGGAACCTCTTTGGCTGTGGGGAGGCCTGCAGGAGACGACATGTGCAAAGGCTGGTGTCACCATGGTGTCCTGCACAGGGAGAGCTCAGAAGAGCTAGTGAGCACGAGCATACCTCGAATACCTGCTTTGTCTGGTCCCTGCCAAGGGAGCAATCATGCTGTTATGGAGTAACTCTTTCCCTCTGAGGATTTTATAAGCAGAAGGTCTGTTTTTAAAAAAATTATAATTTGGCCAGGCACGGTGGCTCACGCCTGTAATCCTAGCACCCTGGGAGGCTGAGGTGGGAGAATCACTTGAGCTCAGGAGTTCAAGACCAGCCTGAGCAAGAGCGAGACCGCTGTCTCTACTAAAAAAAAATAGAAATTGGCTAGACAACTAAAAAAATATATAGAAAAAATTAGCTGGCCATGGTGGTGCATGCCTGTAGTCCCAGCTACTCGGGAGGCTGAGGCAGAAGGATTACTTGAGTCCAGGAGTTTGAGGTTGCTGTGAGCTAGGCTGATGCCACCGCACTCTAGCCGGGCAACACAGTGAGACTCTGTCTCAAAAAAAAAAAAAAAAAAAATTAAAATTGAAATTTATTTATTTATTTATTTTAGAGACAGAGTCTCCCTCTGTCACCTGGGCTGGAGTGCAGTGGCATGATCAAAGCTCACTGTAACCTCAAATTCTTGGGCTCAAGGGATCCTCCTAACTCAGCCCCCCAAGTAGCTGGGACTACAGGCATGCGCCACCATGCCCGGCTAATATTGTAACTTTTTTCTAGAGATGCAGGTCTTATTGTACTTCCCAGGTTGGCCTCAAACTCCTGGCTTCAAGTAATCCCCTATCCACCACCCTACCTCAGCCTCTGCAATTGCTAGGATCACAGGTATAAGCCACCATGCCCAGCTAAAAATTGTAATTTTTAATAGGCATTAGTCACATGATAAAAATATTCTAAAGGTATAAAAGGTCACACAGTAACATTGTTTCCCTCCCACCCTGTGCCTCAGCTGCCTCACTCTCCACCCCAGAGGCAGCCAATATACCAGTTTCTTGTGTAACTTTCCAGGGAAATTCCGTAAATCCACAGCAAATAGGTATTTACTGGAAAAACATTTTATAATAAAAACTTGCCTCTACTTTCTACACTCTTTATCTCTTAATTCTTTTTCTTGTCCTACTGCATTGGCTAATACCTCCAGAACGGCGATGAGCAAAATGGGTGCTGTAGGGCACCTCTGTCGTACTCTTGACTTGAGTGAAATGCCTCGTCATGTTTTTTGTTTTTGAGCTGGGGTCTCACTGTGTTACCAGGCTGGTTTTGCACACCTGACTCAAGCATCCCCCCACCTCAGCATCCTTAGTGGATGGCATTACAGGGACATGGCACCATGCCCAGGTTTTTTTTTAGTTTTCTTTCCTGAAGATATTTAGCTAGATCTTACCTATGCTGGCCCAGCTTCTTTCCTTGGAAACCGTCCCTGGGACTGCGAGGATGGCCCCTCTCCCCTCTGGATTCCCTAATCCTCAATCTCTGACTCCCTCACTGGGTGTGGCCTGGTCCTGTTCTCTGCGCACGACCCAGGCTCTTACCTGGCCCTGGAGTCTGTCCTGTAAAGAGCCATTGGCCATGTGGGGGTAGATCAAGCTGTGAAACCGCCTTCCCGCACAGAAGCCCAGCACAGGTAAGACGTTCGGGTGGCAGCATCTGAAATCAGGTATCGGTGCAGGGGTGAGGAGTCAGACGGAATAATCAAGGACTTACCCATTAATACTTCCTCATCTCTCATCTTCTTCTGCCCTCTTGACCCCAAAGCCACCAGTAACCTCCCAGGTTACCATGCTCTGACCCCTAAGGGCCTGGCACCAGGGCAGAGAGATGAAAACTGCCTGCCTTAGAGGAGCTGGAACCTGAGTGGTCCCCATCCCTCTCCGCTGCTCTGCGGCCAGGACACCTCAACCACCCCATCTTCAGAAACACGGGCTTGGAGGTTACTGAATCAGCCCATGGTCACAAACCAGCAAACAGTGAAGCCAGGACCAGATCCCGGGTCTATCTGACTCCAGGACTGGGGCCTTCTGAAACCCTCTTCCACCGGGTTCTGAGCCCCCTCCCTCCTGACTCTCCTCCCACCTCTCTGACAACTCTCCCTTGGCTTGTTCCGCTAAGATGCTCCTCCTCGGCCTTCCTCCTCTCCGCCAGCTGGGCCGGCAGCGGCGGATATGCTGTCCCTCCAGGCACCTCCCCACACCCAGATCTCCTCTCCAGCCCCATCCGACGAGCTCCAGACTTCGGGGTCTAAACATTCCAATGCTCAGGTGAGCACCAGCCTGCGCTCCAGCCCCACACCTGCCTATCCACCCATGTTCACCATCCCAGCGAAGGCACCCCCACCCCGCCACACCGTTCACTGTGATAAATAGCTTTCGACAGGCCCCCTTCATTCCCCTCTGCTCTGCCTTGGCCAGGCTCCAACCCAATTTCCCAGGACTCCTGTAAATGGCCCCTGCCCGACCTCTCTGCCCCTCCGCTCCCGCAGCCACCGTTAACGTGTTAGCCGTCTGCAGGGCAGTCTCCCCGCTGCACCGTTATCGTGTTAGCCGTCTGCACGGCAGTCTCCCCGCTGCACCGTTATCGTGTTAGCCGTCTGCGGGGCAGTCTCCCCGCTGCACCGTTATCGTGTTAGCGTCTGCACGGCAGTCTCCCCACAGCCACCGTTATCGTGTTAGCCGTCTGCACGGCAGTCTCCCCACAGCCACCGTTATCGTGTTAGCCGTCTGCGGGGCAGTCTCCCCGCTGCACCGTTATCGTGTTAGCCGTCTGCAGGGCAGTCTCCCCGCTGCACTGTGAACCTCCCCAGGCGGGGCTGCGCACACTTGGCGCTGCCCTGGCCGGACCCTTGGAAAGGGCTCGACCACTCATGCTTTCTGGACCGATGAATGGAGGAGCGACTGCTGCCGACTCTAGGAAGGGGCCGTGCCAAATGGAAAGGGAGTCATACCTGTAGCTTTGATTAAATGCGCATGTGCCTGTGTATATGTGTGTGTGCATGTGTGTCTTCATACACATATGAATAGAGAAACCATGAAAGAAAATATGTCAAAATGTTAACACACTCGTAGTTATTTATAGGTGCTGTGGAAAACAGGTAATCTCTATTTTCTTTGTTTCTGAAAATACTCCACAGAAATCATGGATTCTTTGCCTTGGCCGTGTCCCGGCGGAGGGAGCCGCATAGTGTGACTCGCCAAGGCCAAGCAACAGCTGTGCCTAGCACTCGATGGAGCCCAGTGGGCACTTAAGTCCCTCAGTCAGTGATGGCAGAGCCAGGACAGACCCCAGGTCTCCAAACAGTCCTTCCCTGCTCTCTCCAAGTCCCCACCCAGCTCTGTGACAAGGAGGCTCACTTCTCTGGTCTCAGTTACCCCATCTGTAAAATGAACAGGTTTGAGGATAACTTTGGAAGCCTTTATCACTCTAGACCATGTGTCAGCAAACTTTTTCTGGAAACAAACAGCAGTAAACATTTCAGACTTTGTAGGCCCTACGGTCTTTGTTGGCACGGCTCAACTGTGCGCTGTGACACAAAAGCAGTCACACATGACACGAAAATGAACGAGTGTGGCTGTGTTCCGATAAAGCTTTATGACAGACATTGAAATGTGGATTTCATACAATTTTCGTGTGTCATAGAGCATTCTTCTACTTTTTTTTTTTTTTGAGACCGAGTCTCACTCTGTTGCCCAGGCTAGAGTGCCGTGGCGTCAGTCTCGCTCACAGCAACCTCAAACTCCTGGGCTCAAGCGATCCTCCTGCCTCACCCCCCCCCCCCAGTAGCTGGGACTACAGGCATGCGCCAACATGCCTGGCTCATGTTTTCTATTTTTAGTTGTTTGGCTAATTTCTTTCTATATATGTAGAGACAGGGTTTTGCTCTTGCTCAGGCTGGTCTCGAACTCCTGAGCTCAAGCGATCCTCCCACATTGGCCTCCCAGAATGCTAAGATTATAGGCGTGAGCCACTGCACCTGGCCTATTCTACTTTTGTTTTTTTTCTTTCAACCATTCAAAAATGTAAAAATGATCCTTAGCTCTCAGACTAGACCACGATTTTAAGAGAGATTCGCTCTCAGAGTTGGTTCGTAAATCTCTGGCTACCTCAAAAAATGGGACAGAAACATCTATGGAATGTTTTCCATGGAAGGAAGGTGTTGGAGGAGTGAGCCAAGATTCCTAGGCCGGGCGTGGTGGCTCACGCCTGTAATCCTAGCACTTTGGGCGGATTGCTCGAGGTCAGGAGTTCGAAACCAGCCTGAGCGAGACCCCGTCTCTACCAAAAATAAAAAAAATAAATTAATTGACCAACTAAAAATATACATACAAAAAATTAGCTGGGCATGGTGGCGCATGCTCCCAGCTACTCGGGAGGCTGAGGCAGGAGGATCGCTGAGCCCCGGAGATTAAGGTTGCTGTGAGCCAGGCTGACGCCACGGCACTCACTCTAGCCTGGGCAACAAAGTGAGACTCTGTCTCAAAAAAAAAAAAAAAAAAAAAAGATTCCTTTATAACTCTAATCTATACCTATAATTGATACATAGAAGAACATGAGCCAGGCCATGTAGGTACAAATCCCAGCTCTGAGACTTACTAGCTGTGTGATCTTGGACAAGATGCTTAACCTCTCTGTGCTTCAATGTACCCATCTGTAAAATGATGTGATAGTAGCAGCTACATTACAGAATTCTTATGAGGATTAAGTGAGTTTATATATAACAGAGTGCTTAAAACATGCCTGGCACACAGGAAGCTCTATGTGAGGGGATGTGTCACTACTGTTAACATTAAACAAAGCATTTTCCAGAAGGGAGGCTTACCTACGACAGACCTGCACCTCTGCCTGGAAGAACCTCTGAATCGACCCTGGACTGGAACAGGCCGTCTGTGGAGGAAGACACGGAACGTGGAGGCCCAGCCTCACCCGCGCAGCCCCACCCCTCGCTAGAGACCAGAGGCACTTGCCTCTCTGAGCCTCTTGAAGACGAAGGGCGTCCCGAGCCTCTGCCCCCTGTAGACGTCAGCAAAGGTGCCCTCGTGGATTTTGCGGTTTTGACTGAAGTCGTCAGTTGCCTGAACCACGTCCGCCTCGCTCCAGAACAGGCTGCCTCCAGCCAGGCTCATGGGCTCTTCCTGCTCAGGGACAGAGGTGCTGCAGCCCTGGGGGTTCGGAGAGGAGAGACGGCATGAGTACGGAGGCGCCTTTCCCTGCCACCTCAGAGGGTCTCGGAACGCCGGAGCTGAAGGGTGGAGGTCACCTTGTCTAGTGGGGAGCTGTAACGAAAACACGGACAAGCCCAAGCTCAGATCCCAGCTCTGCCCCTAATTTGCTCTGTGACTTTGGGTGAGTTACTTAACCTCTCTGAGCCTCAACTGCCTCATCAGCAAAAATGAAGATAGACTAGTACCCTGGAGGGTAATTTTGAAGATTAACTGAGATGTGAGTATTCCTGGCACAGGGTTGATGGTTCCTTTTCTTCCGGTCACAGAGGTAGGCACAGAGAAGATAAAAGAGCTGAAGTGAGGCCACCCTGCTGGTCACTGGGCCAGGCTTGGTGCCCTCAGTCTGGCCCACAGCACATGTGCTAAGCCTCTGGGGCCCAGGGACATGGACGAAGCTGTGCTTCCCTTTTTAAAAATAAGTGTCCATGGCCGGGCGCTGTGGCTCACGCCTGTAATCCTAGCTCTTGGGAGGCCGAGGCGGGCGGATTTCTCAAGGTCAGGAGTTCAAAACCAGCCTGAGCAAGAGCGAGACCCCGTCTCTACTATAAATAGAAAGAAATTAATTGGCCAACTGATATATATATAAAAAATTAGCCGGGCATGGTGGCACGGCTGAGGCAGAAGGATCACTGGAGCCCAGGAGTTTGAGGTTGCTGTGAGCTAGGCTGACGCCACGGCACTCTAGCCCAGGCAACAGACTCTGACTCAAAAAAAAAAATTATACATGCTTGTATTAACAGTTTTAGAAAACTGGGGAGGGGGAGAATTATCCATAATCCCATCATCCACTTAACTGCTATTAAAGTTGTGTATTTCCTGCCAACTGGATAGTAATATATCAGGATTTATTTAACAAAATTGGGGACGTGCTGCACATAGTTTTGATTTCTGGGGTTTTCACTTAGCATATACCATGATCATTCTCCCAAGTTATTAAATCATCTTGGAAAATGATTAATTATTAAAAACAAACAAACAAACAAAACTCTGCTTAAGAGAGAATCTCCACCCTAACCAGACCCACGTGAAGCGGCCTCTCCCCGACACACGCGACGCGGTGTCTGGGGCTCACAGCACTGCAGGGCCATGAAAACATTTTAATTTCTTTAAAAATGAGAAGAAAATAAATAACATCCTCATTTTTAAGCTAGCTTGGATTATATTCATCTCCATACCAATGCACTCATAAGATATAATTTTGGGTTGTTTTTTTTTTAAATAAAGGAAGGGGCCCATGAAGGTGAAAGTGCCTAAAACCCAGGAAAGTCACAATGCAACCCTGGCCCCACGCCACTCAACACTCAGGACAGCCCAGACTGAGTTATGCAACCCGGGGTAACTGGGCTGAAAAAAGGTGGGGGGGAGGTGGTATGTGAGCCAACGGCTACTTTACGGATGCATTTGGGCTTGGGGGTGCCAGTCTCCCAAACGATGGAAAGGCTCATTCACTGGCGTGTGCTCCCCTCCCAGGTCTGCTGACCGCCTGCACGTTCAGTCTTAGCAGCCAAGAGTGAGTGATCTGAGGGGTTTCCTTTCCCCTCCCCACCCCTCACCTGGTTTCAAGGAGTAAAGAAATTGCATTTTTGCAAGGGAGCCACAGGCCAGCGGACATGGCTTGGGGACGGAAGCAGAGGGGTGGGTTTACCTTTGAGTCCAATGAAGCGGGGAGGTGGGTTTTTAAGGAATGAGGGGCATCTTCTTCAGAAGCAGGCGGTGGGAAGGGCTGCAGGCGGGCTCCAGCTGCAGCAGACTCTGGAAGGGAGAGACTGTGGGTCGGATGTGGCCTGGGGGAGCAGGGCGAGGGGCTCCCCACCGAGTAACTCTCTCATGCACCCCCAAATATGTATCACTGCCACTTCCTGAAGCCCAGCACTCGCGCCCAACGCACTGCTCAGGTGAGCCCTGTCACCTCATTTAAGCCTTGGGACAGCCCTGCAGCCCTATCTGCCACCCATTTGACAGGTGGGACACACAGGCCCTGGAGGGAGAGTCCCTGCCCTGGGGAACACCGTGGGAAGTGGCACAGCTGGAGTTCAAGCGGAGGCAGTTTGACTTCTGAGCCCTGCTCTTTCCTACTCCCGCTCAGAGAGCAGTGGAGGACATAGAGGTCAACTAGCTACTGAGCCTGCCTTCCAGAAACCTCCGCCGTGGCAGGGGTGACAGTAACTGTCCTCCAGGGACAGATTCCACGGGGAAGCAAGGTCAGGGGCAGGAGAGGCCATAGCAGGCTGATACGAGGAAGATTCACAGAGGAAGTAGCATTCAACCCGGGCTTGAAAGACGGGGAAACATTTTCCATAAGCACCACGGGGTAGGAGGGCTTGAAGCCGTGGAAGGAGTCTGTGCAGAGGCCGGGCAGTGGAAGGCCCCAGGGGCGCAGTAGGCAAGTATGTAGACGCATTTAGTCAGCAGACACAGCATGCCAAGGAGTGTTCTAAATCACCTGACGCCCACAACAGTCCTAGGAGATAAGCTGCCACTGGACCGTTAGCATGTCCTCTGACACGAGGCAGAGAGAGGTCAAGCAGGCTTTCCAAGGGCACACAGCCAGTGGCTCCAGAATCCACGTTCTTAACTCCCCAGTAAGTGAGGAAGAGTCATGAGAGAGGCGGCTTGAGGAGTAGTTTAGGGTCAGGTAGACGTTCGGTTGAAGAGGGTGAAATTTCTTCACCAGGCACCACAGGAAGATTGACCTGAAGACTCACTAGGCAACCTGAGGTCTGAGGAATGAACAAGGTGCCGGCTGGGTGAGACGGGCCGTGGAGTCTGGTCCACACAGAAGCAGCCTCGGCGGAGGCCAGAAGCATGAGTTATCATCTGAAAATACCCGGGCGGCCCCATGGCAAGGATGGCTTCTAAGTAATTGCAGACTGGCCTTGACCCTGGGGCTACTGGACAAGTCTACCTGCTTCAGCTGTTTCTGACTTGTGGATCAGGAAAGGAGCGATCCATCCGGAACCCCGACCGCAGCACGTGAGTTCAGGAGACGGGAACAGCGCCGCAGCCAGAGCGGTCAGCTACACTGGGAGCCCCGGCAGGCGGCTGGTGGAGCAGAGCCTGCCCGGCAGCGGCCGGGGGCAGGTCGAGGGCTGTCCTGAGCCTCCTGGATCCTGCCCGGCCGCCTCTTGAGTCTCGCAGCCACGAGGACGCGAGCCGTGGCCCCAGCTGCCGTGGCTCTGGCCCACGCCTGTGTCCACGCCTGGCCACGCTTCCCGGCTGCTCCCAGACGCTGTGTGCAGAGGGGACACAGATATGTGGGGCGTCTGCGTGGACCTGATTTTCCAAGACGCTGTTAGCCCTTTGTGTGCCAGAACTCTACTAAAAAGAAATCCCATTTCCTATGGAGACCTTTCTAGAATGTCTGCTTTCCTCAGCAGAATGCGCCGAATCCCGTCCTGCATCGGACGTGGGGTTTCCCGCGTCCTGCCCTGTGGCTGGCGCGGTCGGCCCGAGGCTCCCCTCTCCTTTGGCGGCATCAGAACTCGGCTGAGTCCTGGCTCCGTCCTTACGGAAGGTCTGGCCTCGAGTGAGCTATGCTTCATTTCTTTGAGCGTTCTCCAAACATAAAACGAGAAATACTAGTCTGTTCCTTGTACAGTTCTTGTCCGGGCCGAAAGTGCCAGTCTGGGCACAGACGGGGTGCTCACCAGCCCCCAGGCGGGCGAAGCCGCGCAGAGTGAGGACGCGAACAGACTCCGACCGCCAGCCCACGGCCTCTCCTGCCGCTGGCTTCCCACGGCCGTCAGCAGCTCAAGGCCCCGAAAGCCGAAAGCCCGTGCGCGGGGCTGCCCAGCTCCTCCGCTCGCCTCCCCTCCCCGTCTCTTCCCGCTTCCTCCCCACCTGCCGAGGAGGGGACGGCCCAGGAGTCAAGGTCAAGGGGGGGGCTCTGTGTCCTCCACGCCTACAAAAATCCTTCCAGGAGATCCACCGGTTTGAACTTTGGGGCCCCAGGGAAACGTGGGGCTCTCTCGGGAGAAGGCGGGCTTTGGGTGGTTTGATGAAAGGAACGATTATTTCTCAACTGCCGTTTGGGCAAAGAGACTCGCGTCTACGTCTGCAGACTGTGGCGCCATCCCCACAGCGCAGGCAGACACCCATTCGAGAAAGAGACTGTGCAAAGTCCAACAGAGACATGTGACGCTGCTTTGCACAGTGACCTAGTGGAGGGACAGGAGAGGAAATTGCTACGCCTGTCACCTCCCCGAGAATTCCCCTAGTTTACTATCGTTTTTCCCTCTGGCCATCAGCCAGCCTCACATTTGCCTTAGGGCCATTTCCCCTTATCTTTAATTGCCGGTGCAAGGTCTGCACCTTTTTTTTAATCTATCTTTCGCTCCAGGAAATAGTCCATACTCCTTGGCTTGAAGTTGCCATTCCAGATTCAACCTCTCTGGGGTGTCTGGAACGTCCCTCTCTCCGCTGTCTGGTGAGCACTGGGGCAGTTCCTGACCACGACAGGGCGAAATGCTGTTATCTTCATTTCATGAACTGAAGAAACCGCGCACAGCAAGGCCGATTCCGCTAGAACGCGGCAGAGCTGGGATTTCGACAGGCCGGTCTAGCACAGAAGCCCACGGGCACCCTCCTCGCGGCAGGGCGGGCCGGCTTCAGAGCCTGCACCGCGCACCGAGATCGCACCGAGATCACGCAGACCTGGGATCTTCGGCTCGCCACGCGGGAGGCTGCGGGGAGGCCCCAAAGCGAGGCTTGGCTCCGGGCCGGGTGGCGAGGACAGAGACACGGCTGAGGAGCAGCTCCCCGGGGAAGTCGGCCCCTGGCTGAGCCCCTCTGTCACCTGGCAAGCTGGCCCCAGCCTTCGCCGGGGCACTGGGGGATGGAGACAGACCCAAAGTGGTCTGAGAGGCTCTGGGAGTCGGTCCGTGCCGTGGTTAGGGACGTGTGCAAACCACACGGCTCAGGTGCCACCTCCTCCTCGTCACTCTCTCTCTGGGCTTCAGGTGCCCGAGGACGAAGCAGCAGACGTGTGGCTGGAGAGGCCGAGGCGGCCGGGGCTGTGGAGAGCAGGCACTGGGCCGGCACTGGCCTGAGCCAGCCTGCGCTGGGGGCTTGGGAGACCACAGGTGGAACAGGGGCCCGGCAGCGTATGACCTTGGCCAGGTTGTTTATCCCCTTAGTGCTTCAGTTTTCTCATCTGTAAAATGGGCACAATAACGATACCCAATTCACACAGGTAGCTGAAGGTTAAATAAGTCAGCATCTTTGAGGTACAGTACTGAGAATAGTGTCTGACACCTAGAAAGCTCTCAATTACGGAGTTGTTTTCTTTTGACAAAAATGGTAATAGATGATACATATTCTTTCGTTTCCTGGCTTTCTCCACTTTTCCAACTCACTACCTTGTGAGCATGTTTCCACGTACAGATGCATGGCTACGTCGTGTTATTAATTTTACCATCTCCTATGCCGTCTACAATTTTTGGTTTAGATGCTGAGCTGAATATCCTTATAGATAAATCTTCATTTCCTTAAATAAATTTGCTTTAAGTAGAGATATTAAATTAAGTTCAAAATACCTGGGCCCGTAAAAGCATCTGGCTTCACGGGCTGCTCTTCTCCCTGCATATTCTGCGTAGTTCTAACAGAAGCCGCCAAAGGCCCTCCTGGCTTCACAGCATCTGGGAAGCCCAGAGTGGGAGACCCGACTTTAGGAACCGATTTCCCTGAAAACAAGGTGGGAAGAAAATGATTAGTATTTCATGAAGTGGGGTAGCAATCGAGAGGCCAGGACTAGAAGTCGGAGACCTGGGTTCTAATCCTGGCGCTGCCACAAATTGGGAGGTGGGAGATGTTCTCTCCCTGGGCCTCGACCTCCACATCTGTAAAATGGACATGACAACCCCCTGTGATGGCCCAGCTCTAACACTCCGTCTTCCGACCCTACTGGCTGTGCCACCCCAGACAAGTCACTCTCCTCCTCTGAGCCTCCGTTTCCCCACCTATAAGATGGGGACGATGACAATAATACTATCTGCTTACCTCCCTCCCAGGTCTGTTGAGAAGGGGAAACGAGGCCCACAGGTGCGAGGGGCTCTGCGGGCGACGCGGCCCCCTGAAGGTGTGAGCAAGCTGGAGACGCCCACCCCCTGAGCCCCGCTCAGCCCCAGATGCAGAAGCCCCGGCTGTTCTGCAGCTCCCCGTCCATGGGCTGCGGAGGCGCCGTGCAGACAGGAGCCCAACAGCAGCAGCTGTGTCCTGGGGACCCACCATGCCAGGCCCAGGCCCAGGCCCAGCCTTGCACATGCTAAAGCCTCACGACGTCCTTGCGTGTCTTCCCTGTCTCGAGATGAGGAAACTGAGGCCGGAGCAGGTTAAGTCACCTGTCCAAGATCCCACAGCCAGAGGCAGACAAGGACTGGTCAAAGAAGCCACCTGCCTTCTTGAGAGTGATCATTTCCTCCTTCCCCTGACCTGGGAAGCCCCAGAGGTGCTGCGAGGGTGTGTCCACATGGGCAGCCAGCCACCTACTCAGAGCTGCTCTCTGAGCCCTCTCCCTCCTCCACCTGCCCCAGGACGCCCCGATTATCCCGCCAGCTGGCCACTGCCTCCTGCTGCGGTGGCCGACCAGTCTGCATCTTGCTGAAATGAGATCTGGCCTCGCCACTTCCCTGTGGGGCTCCCCTCTGCCTAGACGACACCCTCTGCTTAGCCTGAATCCCGTTTCCCCAGTGCCTCCCAGGTAACAGCTCTGCATTCCAGGCCCTTGCTCTCTGTGATGTGGGATGCACTCATGCGCGAGAGCCAGACACAGGGTGCCGCAGTCCCAGGGAGGCTGCCGACCGCTCGCTCTCACACCGAGCCCTGGGCGGGGCTGGGAAGAGGCGTCTCCAGCAGCACTTTGACTGGTTGAACTGTCTCTGAACAAAACCAATTCTTACTCTGGGAAGCCGAGGCGGGTGGATCGCTCAAGGTCAGGAGTTCGAAACCAGCCTGAGCAAGAGCGAGATCCCCGTCTCTACTAAAAATAGAAATAAATTAATTGGCCAACTAAAAAAAAAAATTATAAATTAGCCGGGCATGGTGGTGCATGCCTGTAATCCCAGCTACTTGGGAGACTGAGGCAGGAGGATCGCTTGAGCCCAGGAGTTGGAGGTTGCTGTGAGCTAGGCTGACGCCATGACACTCTAGTCTAAGCAACAGAGTGAGACTCTGTCTCAAAAAAACCCAATTGTTAGCATGGGACCTAGCTTTTCAAACCCAAACTTCGGGACTGGAACAAAGAAACATTAAGACCTAAATTTGCAATGACACCACACAGATTTATTTAATTTTCACAACAATCTGTTGATAGAATTATCTGCATTTTATTTTTAGCCTGTGGAGACGCAGGTGAAAAGATTTGTCCAGAGTCAAACAGCCAACAAGAGTCACACCTGGCTCGGGTTTCGCCGTCCTGCCTTCCAGCCAGGGCAGAGCTACTTGAACGCCACGCTGGGTCCCTGCACAGGCAGGGACAGGGGTGCCCACTCCGCTTTCCCCAGGGTCGGGGGAGACCCGGGAAAGCACAGAAATAACAATAAGGCTGAAGAGGGAAGCAGCGTTCCCTTGTGTTTCTGTAGGCTCGCTGCCTTGTCGCTCGTTGAGCGAGCCTGCCTCACAGAGGCAGCAGGGCTGGGCTGTTGGGTTCAGGCTCCGGGAAGGAAGCCAGCTCTGCCAGGCCCTGGCCGTGTTTACTCTGGACAACTTTTACAAGGACTAGCAGAGGCGGAGCACATGAATGGCCCGGCCCAAAATACGCCCGCTAAGTTTTGGGTTAATTTAAAAGAAAAGGCAGGACCTTTATTATTGTGATTGTCCTTGTATTTTTAAAAAATTGGTTCTCTCTCAAACGGCCCACCTACTGAGCATAAGACCGGTAGGATAGGAGTTTTTAGTTTTCATTTAACACAATTCTTAACCAGTTAAAAAAATGTTAACTTGGGTTTTCCACTTTAATAGTAACTCAAAGGACATGCAGATGTATCCATTGATGTGGAAAGGTGCCAACACCACACTGTTGGATGAAAGTGGCGGGCAACAAAAAAGAAATCTATACATGAAGACACAAAGCGCCTGCCGCACGCACAGCGTTTCCAGTGATTACGTGGAGGAGAGAAGCACCACAGTGAGCTTATACTGTGGAATTGTTTTTCCTTTTGGTTTATTCATATTGGAGAATTTTTCGATGACGATTATGCATTATTTACATAGTAAAGTATATTTTCTTAAAAGAGAACTCAGTAAGCAGGCTAGCTAAAACTGCGACTAGAACTGGGCCTCGCAAACCCGAGGAGCAGGTCTGCCCTGGAGGGCCTGGCCGCACCAGCTGCAGACAGACCGAATCTGCCCTTCCCCGAGTCAGAGCCCACTGGATTGTCTTCTGCCTAACTGCCCCGAGATGTGTCCTCCCAAGGACCCTGGAAATCTTGAGTAAGGAAGTGGAGACTCCAGGAGGGGAGGCGGCCACCTGAGGGGGAAAACTGCACGAAGGCAGGGAGGAGGGAACGGAGAACACGCGCTTCCCTCTCCCTCAGGGTCCTCGGTCCACGCCGCCCCAGCTCCCACCAGAGGAGCTTTCTCCGGCTGAAACTCAGAGCCCAGACACCGGCTTCTCCTCAACAGTGGCCTTGCCGGCGCCCGTCTTGTAGAATGCCACTGACTCCCACGCCCAGGAGGGAAACGGCCCCTGGTACACCCTGGTACAGACAACAAGGAGCAATGGCCGGGGCGAATGCTGACTCAGACGCGGCTCTGGCGCAGAGCTGCGCGCTCCCCAGTGTGCACGGCCGGGACACTCTGCCTGTGCCCCCAGAAGGAAGGGCCACCCGCCCTCTGTCAGACACACTTGGCAGAATATCGAGGCCACGGCCCCTCTGTGGCTGGCCCAGTGGGCTCCACCCACAGGGAAGAGAAAAACCGTCATTATATTTCCATCCTAAGAAGAATCCAGCTCTGCTCTTTTTTTTTTTTATAGACAGAGTCTCACTCTGTTGCCCGGGCTAGAGTGAGTGCCATGGCGTCAGCCTAGCTCACAGCAACCTCACACTCCTGGGCTCAAGCGATCCTCCTGCCTCAGCCTCCCGAGTAGCTGGGACTACAGGCATGCGCCACCATGCCCGGCTAATTTATATATATATATATATATATATATTTTTTTTTTTAGTTGGCCAATTAATCTGTTTCTATTTTTAGTAGGGATGGGGTCTTGCTCTTGCTCAGGCTGGTCTCAAACTCCTGACCTTGAGGGATCCTCCTGCCTCGGCCTCCCAGAGTGCTAGGATGACAGGCGTGAGCCACTGCGCCAGGCCAACTGTTGTTATTTTTATTATCATCCCTAACTCTAGGTCAGGCTTATTCCTGCAGGTGCTTTCCCGCAGGCATGGCCTATTTAATTCAGATGGCAGCCTGGGGAAAGTCTCGGCGCTATCTCTGTCTTACGCTTGAAGAGCGTAGGTTACGTGTCTGTGATCTGTGTGTGTGCCCGTCTCCTTCAGTGGGGAGCATTTAGGAAGTTTATCTTGCTGGGTGGGCCTTGTCCTGGCCTCTGCCCGCGCTGCCTGGGAACATCCGACAGTGGCCAGTCCGGGCAGCGGCAAGGGACGTGCAGGGGCTGGCGAGGTCTTTCCTCGGTGAGCACATTCTGGAAACCCCCTACCCTCACGCCACTCAAGGTAAACAGCGGTGTGTTCATAAGCTGACTCATGTGATGGGAATCCATCCTGTGTAGAACCAGCCGGGGTGACTCAGCCATGACTAAAGCACGCTGTGCCAGCCGCCTGCACCAGGGACAAACACCACTGCCTGAGCCCTCCTCACTTTTCCTTTCCCTGCTCTCCCCCGAGTTGGACCCTCCTCACTTTTCCTTTCCCTGCTCTCCCCCGAGTTGGACCCTCCTTGCTTTTCCTTTCCCTGCTCTCCCCCGAGTTGGGCCCTCCTCGCTTTTCCTTTCCCTGCTCTTCCCCGAGTTGGGCCCTCCTGGGCACACACACACACAGACACACTGAGTTGGACCCTCCTGGGCACGCGCACACACAGACACACTGAGTTGGACCCTCCTGGGCACGCGCACACACACACACACACACACACATACACTGCTGATCCCTGAGTTGGACCTTCCTGGGCATACACACACACACAAAGACACACACATACATATATACACGCACACCATTCAAAACTCCTGGCTCAGGCCGGACGTGGAATTAGGCGAATCTGAGGGGCAAGCTGTCTGGCTAAGCGCTCTGCCCCGGTTCTGCAGCGAAGCTGTCCTCCACCAGGCGCCGAACCCACTCGCTCCTCCTCACTCGTCGGTTGTGTTAGGGCTTAGGGATTCCACCCATTATCAAAACTGATGTGATTCTGACATTAAGCAAGTTAAATAAAAGATATTTGGTCATAAGCTGGGAGCAGTTCTATATTGAAAGCAAACATCAGGGAGAGAAAGTTTTCTTTAGAAACAAGGTCTCACTCTGTCGACGCCCAGGCTGGAGTGCCGTGGTGCAATCACAGCTTACTGCAGCCTCCGACTCCTGGGCTCAAGCGATCCTTCTGCCTCAGCCTCCCGAGCACTTAGGACCACAGGGTCCTGCACCACCACACCCAGCTAATTTTTTAATTTTGTAGAAATGAGCTCTCACTATGTTGTCCAAGCTGGTCCCAAACTCCTGGCCTCAAGCCATCCTCCCACCTTGGCCTCCTCAAGTGCTGGGATGACAGGCGTGAGCAGCTGTGCCCGGCCTCAGGGGAAGCTTCTCTGAGGAGGTGCCATTTCAGCAAGAGACCGGAAAGATAAAAAGGACCAGCCGCGGGAAGAATGCAGGGAAACTAGGGAGGGATCAGTGCCCCAAGGAGACGGAGCAGCAAGTACAAAGGCCCAGAGGCAGAAAACCTTGGTGTATCCCCTCAGGCGAAGAACGGCCCCAGGGCTGAGCTGAACGAAGGGAGTGGTAGAGACGAGGACAGAGAGCTGGAAAGGTTTGGACCACGCAGGACCTTGTAGCCATGAGCCCCTGAACCGCAGCAGCCTGTGGCTGGACAATACTTACCGAGTATCTGTGACCGTTCGCTCCTCTCATGCCCACACCCCAGCCTCCCTGCAGTTTAGGCTAGAGACACATGGCTGGTTCTGGCCAGTGGATTTTACATGGCAAAACCTTTTTTTTTTTAATTTTTAACTTTAATTTTTTAGAGACAAAAAGTCTTGCTCTACTGCCCAGCCTAGAGTACAAATGCTGTGATCGTAGCTCACAGCAGCCTCAAACTTCTGGGGTCAAGGGATCCTCCTGCCTCGGCCTCCCGAGTAGCTGGGACTACAGGTATGTACCACCACGGCTGGCTAATTTTTACATTTTTTTGTAGAGAAGACAGGGTATCCCTGTGTCGCCCAGGCTGGTTTTGAACTGCGTCTGCCCCCTGCTAAGAGCAGTGAACCTGGAAGGGTAATACAAGAGACATGGGAAACGGCTAAGAGAATAAAAAGGAGCTCTCGCGGGCAAGCGAATGTGCGGGGGCTGGGAACGTCACGGCCCTTCTGTGCTAATTCATCCTGACTCCTATGACATTCAGTGTCTGACAAAGTAAGTCGCCATGTCCTGGGCAGCTGGGGCTGAGAAACCATCAAGGAACTGACACCCACAGAACCAGCCCTGACACAGTCAGGCCGGGAGCAGCTACAGCCCACGACTCAGGAGACTTTATGTAAACACGGTCCCACGTTCCCCAGTCAAGCTTCCTTATGTCGAGGATTGGGGGGCAGTTTTCAAGAACTATGGTATTCAAATCTGGTTTTTAAAGGCCTTTAAGAAGTGGTAGGTAGGGCCAGGCACGGTGGTGGCTCACACCTGTCATCCTAGCACTCTGGGAGGCTGAGGTGGGAGGATGGCTCAAAGTCAGGAGTTCGAGACCGGCCTGAGCAAGAAAGAGACCCCTGTCTCTACTAAAATAGAAAGAAATTAATTGGACAACTTAAAAAAAAAAATTAGCCGGGCATGGTGGCACATGCCTGTAGTCCCAGCTACCCAAGGGACTAAGGCAGAAAAATTGCTTGAGCCCAGGAGTTTGAGGTTGCTGTGAGCGAGGCTGACGACAGAGCACCCTAGCCTGGGCAACAGAGTAAGACTCTGTCTCAAAAAAAAAAAAAAAAAAAAGTAGCAGGTGGAAGTCAGGTTCTCAAACCGCCAGAGGCAGCTGAGTAAGTTAATAAAGGATCTCAAGCAAGTAAATGAAAAATAACGTTTAACTGATGTTACAATTAGGGAAGGAAAGAAGCTTTGACCAGCTGCAATGATGAATTTAAAATACCTCTCATATGCCCTCTATAGTCACCTCCAAGTGACAGGGATTTTATAGCTCCTTTTTTCCTAATTAAAAAAAAAAGGCTAGGCACAGTGGCTCACACCTGTAATCCCAGCACTCTGTGCAGCCTAAGCGGATGGATCACTTGAGTTAGGAGTTCGAGACCAGCCTAAGCAAGAATAAGACCCGTCTCTACAAAAACTAGAAAAATCAGCCAGGTGTGGTGGCATGCACCTGCAGTCCCAGGTACTTGAGAGGCTGAGGCAGGAGGCTCGCTTGAGCCCAGGAGTTTGAGGTTGCTGTGAGCTAGGCTGAGGCCACGGCACTCTAGCCCAGGCAACAGAGCAAGACCCTGTCTCAAAAAAAAAAAAAAAAAAAAACCCACAATATGCAGAAAGGAGAAGTGCCTTGCTTGAGGAATCAAAGCCATAGTAAAAGCCGGGCGAGGTCACTCACGCCTGTCATCCTAGCACTCTGGGAGGCTGAGGCTGGCGGATCACTCGAGGTCAAGAGTTCAAAAACAGCCTGATGAAGAGTGAGAGGTATAGAGTGAGAGGCCTGTCTCTACTATAAATAGAAAGAAATTAATTGGCCAACTAATAGATATAGAAAAAATCAGCCGGGCATGGTGGCGCATGCCTGTAGTCCCAGCTACTCGGGAGGCTGAGGCAGGAGGATCGCTTGACCAGAGTCTGAGTTGCTGTGAGCTAGGCTGACGCCACGGCACTCACTCTAGCCTGGGCAACAAAGCGAGACTCTGTCTCAAAAAAAAAAAAAATAAATAAATAAATAAATAAATAAATAAAGGGTTTTTGTAAAGTAAAAGATTAAAAAAGGTTTCAAGGCCAGAGAGCTCAGCCAGAACAGCCCAGGGGCACGACGGGGTCTGCCAGGAGGGCCGGGGCTACTCACAGTTGAGCACGATCTGGGCGGCGCGGTAGAGCTCCAGGTGGCGCAGCAGGTCCACGAGCTGCTGGACGGTGGCCTGCCGCATGCCCCACCACCACAGCAGCTCCCGCGTGATGCTCGCGCCCTGCACCCGCTCCAGGGACTTGATCCTCCGCAGCTGCGTCAGGTCTGTGATCACGTAGGAGGCTGCGGGCAGGCGAGAGGGTCCGCTTAGAGTCGCGAGCAGTCCTCCCGGGAGCGCGGGGCCCCGCGCCAGCCCGGCCTTGCCGGGGCATCCTCCCCGCCCGCCCACCCGTGCAAGAAACACCACGGTTGGCTGAGGTCCACAGGTGGCCCCGAGTTACCGTGTTTCCCGATAAGACAGGGTCTTATGTTTCCTTTTCCTCAAGAAGACACCCTAGGGCTTATTGTCAGGGCATGTGTTATTTTCCCCTCAAAGCCTCAGCTGGCAGCACGCAGAGGGTGGCCAGGACCCGACAGGGGGAGCCAACCTTGTTGGGGGGGCTGCCCACACCTGTCCCATCACCTCTGGGATAGCAGCTGTCACGATGGGGCAGATGAGAAGGGCCACTCCTTGACGACACGCAGGGGTTGTGCAGACGCTGCGCAGCCACGCCCATCACTAGGGCTGATTTTCGGGGTGGGGCTTCTATTGCGCAGGTGCTCAGACATCCTGCCAGGGCTTGTTTTGTGGGTAGGGCTTATGTTCGGGGAAACACAGTATGACATAACACTGAGTCTGCCAAATACCCATGGGAACTGGCACACGAACGTAAATATCAACTCGGCTGCCACGGGAGGCTTGGGAGAAAGACCACAGGACAGCAGGGTGAGCCTTGAGCTTTAATGCTCCTTTGCTGTCAGCAGTCCCTTCGCCAATGGGAGCCTCAGTGGGCCACAAAGCTCCGCCTGCCTCCTCTTCTAGAACGGAAAACCCCACATAGGAAGAGGGTTTTACCTGTGTCATCCAATGTCACAGGCCCAGAACCCAGCACAGTGCCTGGGCTCAGAGCAGGGGTGGTGCCAGCACAAGGCCGAGCCAAGGAAGGCCCCTGGGGGCCAAGAGTGAGGAGGCTCTCACTGTAAGCCCCCCACCCCGCATCTGCAGGACCCCGAGGATAAGGGCCTCCTTCCATTTCGCCCTGGGCAGCCCACTCTCCTGGGCTAAGCCCCCGCCCTGCTGCGGGGAACTAAGTAGGTACATAATAAATGAATGGACGCATGAACCCACACCCCACAGTCCTCCCAGAACTGTGATAAGGATCAACACAGCCCGGGGATACAGAAGCACTTGGCCAATTCTGAAGTACTAGACAAAATCCTCGAGGAACCACTATTGACAATAATAAAAATAGTGCATTCTTCCTTTCCACTTTTCACCACAAAATTAATGGCAGTTCACTAAAGAGAACAAGGAAAATACAGGGGGACAAAAAGTCACACAGTGTCCTGCCGCCCTCCTACGCGACCGGGGTACTTCCCCTTTCCAAGAGTCACACCTCTGCACCGCTGTGGCCGTGGACACAGTTATTGCTACACTGGAGGAAACATTTTGCCTTCTACTCTTTTTTTTTTTTTTTTTTTTTTAGACAGAGTCTCACTCTGTTGCCCAGGCTACAGTGCCGTGGCGTCAGCCTGGCTCACAGCAACCTCAGACTCCTGGGCTCTGGCAATCCTCCTGCCTCAGCCTCCCAAGTAGCTGGGACTACAGGCATGCGCCACTGCACTCGGCTAATTTTTTCTATATATTTTTAGTTGTCCAATTAATTTCTTTCTATTTTTAGTACACACGGGGTCTTGCTCTTGCTCAGGCTGGTTTCCAACTCCAGACCTTGAACGTTCCTCCCGCGTCGGCCTCCCAGAGTGCCCGGATGACAGGCGTGAGCCGCCGCGCCCGGCCCGCCTCCTGCTCTTATCGTCACTATACCGCGCATCTGCTGGCTCGTCGCAGCTCTTCATGAATGGTGTTTTCAAGGCCAGCACTCCACTGAGTTTACTGAAGTGAGGGAGGCATTTTTTTTAGAACTAGGAATAAAGTAATCAAGCTTCAGTTCCAGGATTTCAGCAGTCACATCAGGGGAAGGGATGTGAACACCAATCACTCATTTGCTCACCAGCAAAGCTGCCTGTGTGCCAGGCTGGGACAAGCTCTAGACACCGTGTTGAGTTGGCCGGGCAAGGTGGCTCACGCCTATAACCCTAGCACGCTGGGAGGCCGAGGCAGGAGGATCACTTGAGCTCAGGAGTTTGAGACCAGCCAGAGCAAGAGTGAGACCCCATCTCTACTATAAATAGAAAGAAATCAGCCAAACAACTAAAAATAGAAAAAATTAGCCGGGCATGGTGGCGCATGCCTGTAGTCCCAGCTACTCGGGAGGCTGAGGCAGGAGGATCGCTAGAGCTCAGGAGTCTGAGGTTGCTGTGAGTGAGGCTGACGCCACGGCACTCTAGCCGGGGCAACAGAGTGAGACTGTCTCCAAAAAAAAAAAAAAAAAAGCAACTGTGTTCAGTAACCTAAAATTCCACGGAGCTTTTCTGCCCAGAACATACAAACACAGGTGGGCCACGTGGCGCAGGGTGGCACAAAACATGAAGCTGGGCCACGTAAAACGAAGACCCGCCACTAAATGCCGCGATTTGGGGTTTGGACTCGACCCCGAGAGCCACAGAGGACCACAGGAAGCCTCAGGGCCAGGGAGGGAGCCATGTGATCTGACTGCAGAGGTCCCCTCCCCCCTGGACAGAACGGCTTGCGACAGCTTCCTGCAGACAGAAAGAAGTGCCCTCTGGGATGGAAAGTTCCCGAGTTGCAGCTTTAGTCACTGGAAACCCCAGACCAGGCTCCCAGGCAGTGGGAAGTGAGGTCAGCCCGGCTGGGGGCTGCTTCCAGCGGCCCACAGGAAAGAGCAGAGGGAAGAGGAAGGAACGCCCCTTCCCCACGGGACCCCAATGAACCCGACTGAGCTATTATTCATCCGCACGCACTCCCACCCTCTGGAGGCAGCGTGATGCAACGGGAAAAACAGAAGCCCGGGCTGCGCTGGTGGCCGGTGGCTGGTGGCCGAGGGAACTAAGCCAACGCCCTGACCCTGCGTGGGCTGAACTTTCCTCGCTCGTGATGCAGGAGAAATAGGAATTAAAGTGTGAGGTTTGGACATGTTAGTTCCATGAAAGTGACATGTTTTAAACTGTTGACCCATCAGCATTTAACCCGACCCTTTAAACAGGGTCAAGATGAGACAGAAGTCTTGGGCGATGAGTCAAGGTCTCAGGACCACCGAGGCTCCTGCTATGCCCACAGCTCTGTCCTTGGCAGGGGAAGGACACCTGGTCGTGGCAGAACATCTGGAAAACAGGAGATCAGAGTTCCCGTGATCATTCCACTTGGGAGACTCCGAGGAAACCACCGGTTATATCCTGGCATCTAATTTTCCAGACTTCTTCCCACAGATATAAAAATATGTGCAGGCTGGGCATGGTGGCTCACACCTGTAATGGTGATGAGCACATGGACAGACGCTCAGCAGCGTTAGTCATTAGGGAAATGCAAACGAGAGCCACAGCGAGATGCCACTTCACACCTGCCCAGTGAGCATCAAAAAGATGACAGTAAGAGCCAGACACTGAGCCCTTCGAAGAAAAAAAAAAAGAAAAAAGGAAAAAAATGAAAGAAAAAGATGACAATAACATCTGTTGACAAGGATGTGGAGAAATTGTAACCCTCATGTAGTGCTGGTTCAGCCACCGTGGAAACGGTCGGACAGCTCCTCAGAGGGTTAGACATAAGAGTTACCATTTGAGGCCGGGTGCGGTGGCTCACACCTGTAATCCTAGCACTCTGGGAGGCCCAGGTGGGCGGATTGCTCAAGGTCAGGAAGGAGTTCGAGACCAGCCTGAGCAAGAATGAGCGAGACCCTGTCTCTACTAAAAATAGAAAGAAATTAATTGGCCAACTAAAAATATATATAGAAAAAATGAGCTGGGCGTGGTGGCGCATGCCTGTTGTCCCAGCTACTCGGGAGGCTGAGACAGGAGGATCGCTTGAGCCCAGGAGTGTGAGGTTGCTGTGAGCTAGGCTGACGCCACGGCACTCTAGCCCGGGCAACAGAGTGACACTCTGTCAAAGAAAAAAAGAGTCACCATGTGACCCAGCGATTCCATGCCTAGCTGTATACCCAGGGGAAATGAAAACATACGTCCACGTGTTAGGCAGGCAGTTGGGGTCTCCAGCTCTTCTAGGGTTAGGGTGCCCTGCTTTGGTGCTGTGTCGAGCAATTGCTCCACCTGGGAGAAGGATGAGGGCGGGCCCTCCGTTTAGGTGCTGGCCCACCCTTAATCATATCCTAAGCAACTGCTACATCTGGGGAAGAGAGAATATTCCTCACAAATGGGAATGCCATGGCTCAGTCCTGGCAGCATTTAGAAACACCAGCTGATCATTTGACAGCACCCCCCACCTCCCAGGAGCCCGCCCCTGCACTCAGGGCCAATGAAAGGAAATGATCCGAGGAGCCAGGGAGAGAGTGAGTTGGTCTCTTTCCACTCGCAGAGACAGTCTCATTTTGTTCTACGAGAAAGAGCTGCGCTTGTAAAACTGCTTCCTGCCTGGGGTTACTCCGCCATGTTGGCCCTGCTGGTGATTTTTCCAAAACCACAGTCTGGACTTGACACTCAGTTTGGTCATCAAGAATTGAGGGCAGACTGCCACCCTGACACACACAAGCAAACGTGCACACAAACATTCAGAGCAGCATTATTCATAAGAGCCAAAGAGTGGAAACAACCCAACGTCCATCAACTGATGAGTGAATAAATAAAATGTGGCACATCCATACAACGAAATTATTTAGAATAAAAAGAAATGAAGTGGCGATGCATGCCACAGCACAGACGGACCTTGAAGACATTATGCTGAATGAAGAAGTCGCAAAGGACTGTATATTGTATGATTCCATTTATATGAAATGTCTGAAACAGGCAATGCCTACAGCTGGGGGAATTGGAGGAAGGAGTTGGGACTGACACCTAAGGGGTACGGAGTTTCTTTTTGGGGAAATGAAAATGTTCTAAGATTGTGGAGATGTATGCACAATTCTGAATATACTAAATGCCGTTGAGTTGTACACTTCAAGTGAATTGTACGGTATGTGAATTATATCTCAAAAAAGCTAGGTTTTTTGTTTTTGTTTTTTAAAGTCATAGGTGTGTCTTCTAAATTAATTTCCTAGGAACAGAAGTTGTCCTGGCATTTACAATTGAAGGCTGGACCAACATGGAAAAAATGAGAACAAGACCCACACACACAGTTTGTCCACTGCCCAGGCAACATTTAAAATAAAGTCGCCGAGGTGGGAGGATCGCTTAAAGTCAGGAGTTCAAAACCAGCCTGAGCAAGAGCGAGACCCTGTCTCTACTAAAAAAAAAAAAAAAACAGAAAGTAATTAATTGGCCAACTAAAAAATAATAATAAAAATAAATAAATAAATAAAATAAAGTCGCAGGCCAGGTGTGGTGGCCCACGCCTGTAATCCTAGCACTCTGAGAGGCCGGAGGATCACTCGAGGTCAGTTCGAAACCAGCCTGAGCAAGAGTGAGACCTCGTCTCTACTAAAAATAGAAATAAATTTATTGGACAACTAATATATATAGAAAAAATTAGCCAGGCATGGTAACACATGCCTGTAGTCCCAGCTACTCGGGAGGCTGAGGCAGGAGGATTGCTTCAGCCCAGGAGTTGGAGGTTGCTGTGAGCGAGGCTGACGCCACGGCACTCTAGCCCGGGCAACAGAGTGAGACTGTCTCAAAAAAAAAAAAAATAAAAAAACAGTTATTGCTGAGAGGTAGAATCTAAGCTATTTTACTGTTGTTTTCCACAGTATTTTGTGCTAAGGGCATATTACTTTTGTTACTTCGAGGTTAAAACAAGGTTTCTGAACCTCATCACTATTGATACATTGGACCAGATAATTCTCTGTGGGGGGGATGTCCTGTGGGTTGTAGGGTATTTAGCAACATCCCTGGTGTCTACTTACTACCTGCTCCAAGTTAGAAACACCAAAAGTGTCTCCAAACATTGGCAAATGTCCCCCCCCAGGGGGAAAAATTGCCTGTGATTGAGAACCACTTAGTTAAAATATACATTTGCTCAAACTGGATGGAGAACACATACATGTTCATTTCTTTTAGTTTTTAAACTGTACATATGTTATATACTCTTGTACAAATGGTATATTTCTTAATCTAACACTTTAATAAAAATATACATTATTTTAAAAGTTAAGTGGCACTAATTACCCTGACTTAAACCATGAAACTAAGAATGATAATTAACACTCATTCATGACTTGTAAGACTATCTAATGCCTAGGTGTTGTGCTTTTTATACAGTATTTTCATTCCTCACAACTTTATGAAAAAGCATAATGAACATCTCGAGTTTACAGATCAAGAAGCTGAGGCTCAGAGAGGTTAAGAAACTGGCCCAAAGTCACACAGCTAGAGAAGGTGGTAGAGGCTGGAACGCAGATTTCACTTGGGCATCTGAGACAACGCCT